CAAAACTTATTTCATCTTTATTACTTGCGCCATTCATTAACATGCGGACTCTAAAATTCAAAGCTCAACCAACAAATGCGTTTTTTGCTACCGTCAGTCAAATGTTCGGCAGCTCCTCACAGCTTCCGATTACTGCTGAGCACTGTTTCATTGTCTGAACTGTGCTCAACGATTTCATTGCAGAGTGCTCGGCAGTAGTTGGAAGCTGGGAGGAGCCACTGAACATTTGATTGACAGTAGCGAAAAACTCATTTGTCGGTTGAGCTTTGAAATTTAGAGTCTGCATGTTACTGAAAGGCGCAGTAACCGAGTGTGAGAGCTGTACTGGGAGAATATCAGCCATAGGTCTTGACAGTAAGGCCCCAAGTGTACTTGTTTAAAAAGAGGCTCAATTTTTTTCTTTCTTTTTTTAATGATTGTCCCACATGCTGGTTACAATACTCATACAGCTACTTTAACACTACTTACAAGGCTAATACATTTACTTACACTACTTACAATACTTCTTATTTAATATGATTACTTCCGTCACTCACAATACTAAGACTTACACTACTTATGTTAATTACCATACAGTGCATACACTACTTACAATACAATGCAATCAGTTACACTACTTACAATACTAATGCTTACACTACTTGCAGTGCAATATGATAACTTGTGTTACTTACAATACTAACACTTAAACTACTTACAGTGCAATATGATTACTAAATAAATGCCACTTGCAATATGTAGTAATGCTTACACCACTTAGTACACAGCTTGCAATATAATTCGATTACTAACTCAATTGACTGTTCTAAAATTGAGATAATTTGCTAAACTTCTAGTGTTAAAATGAAACTCAAAGAATATGTTGTCATGGTACCACCTTAGGATGCTTTGTTTTGTTATTGTTTGTAGGTTGGTCATGTTGACTGTAGCAAAGAAACAGAGATATGCCAGCGGGTTCATCTCAGGAAGTATCCTATGATAGCCCTGTTTAAGACACACGGACACTATGAATGGCACCATGGTAAATAAATACTTCTTAACCACCAAAACACTGTAAGTGTTTTCTTTTGTCACAGCCTTCCCTGGAGCAATCCACCTCTCTATTGGAGAATAGGGGAACAGACTTAGCCAAAGGCCATTTTTTGTATTTTGGCGACTGGGCTGGATCAAAAAGTAGGACACTGTTGCCTGGTCGCTGGAACTTCTAAGTGAAGTGGAAGTGCAAAACTGGTTGAGATGGTAGGGTTTCAAAGCAACAGGGTTGACATCCTTGTCTTGACAATTCTGTAGCGTTTAGTACAACAGTGGCTTTGGGAGGTGCAGTTAATTGACTCTGAATGGAACTGTCCGGGTTCAAACCCTGGTTTAGGTCATGGCGTTGTGTTCTTGGGCGAGGCACTTAACTCTTACAGTGCCTCTCACCACCCAGGTGTATAAATGTCATAAATGAGTACCAGCGAATCTGTTGCAGGGCGGGGGGAGGGGGGGGGTGGGAATGCGATTGACTAGCATTGACTAGAGAGGAGTAGTTGCTACATATAGAAACCGGAGATAAGCGCCGATCAACCTGATGGGTCACTTGGCTCGAACACAGACTTAACCCTATTACAATGACTCTACAGCTTTAAGCCCCGGTCAAACGATCGCAACGTTTCAACCCAACATATCGCAGCATTGTTGGGCCTTTGGCCACCCTGTTGCGACGTGTTGCGACATGTTGGGTGTTGCTAATCGAACTAGGGCGCAAGCCCTGGCGCAGCATTGTTGCACGAACCTGGCCAAACGAGTACAACATCATGCAACATCTACAAATATTGCATGAAAAATTTGACCATTTTCAAACTTGGGCCAACAACACCCAACATGTGGCAACACGTCGCAACCGGGTGGCCAAACGCGTGTAACATGTTGCGCCCAACAATATTGATATATGTTGCGTTGAAATGTTGCGATCGTTTGGCCGGGGCTTTACTCTCTCTGGTTTTCCTCACTGTATGTCTGTTCTTCTAAGGGACCGTTCATTTTTTATGAGGG